GAGCTTAAACTCCTGCATGAGTTCAGACCCAAGTCTTATTCAAACCATAGAGGGATGAGAAGGGCATTTAGTCTAGTTTCTAAGAGACTAGCCAGAACGCACCTGTCCCGTGTCAGAGCACTTGGGTTCTATTCCTGCCTCTGACTCTTTACCCCAGCTTCCTGTGAATGCAGACCCTGGAAGCCATCTCCTGCCGCCTTCCCAGGCACATCAGAAGGAAGAGGGATAGCAAACGAAGTAGCTGGTACTCAAACTGGCACACCACTTTGAGAAGCCAGCATTGCAAGCAGTAGCTGACACAATGGGCTACAGTGGCAGCCCCTTTTGAAAAACTGGAAACTACATAAATGCTAATAATGGGCTGCCTCTATAAGCCACAGAACAGCCCTCCACCAGCTGTCCTGTTACCTGGCTGCTTCCACAAAGTCAGCTTGTCTCACAGGTGGTGCACAACTTCCTGGAATGATACTCAGTGGTCAGGATCAGATTGGGCTGTGAGAAATAAAATCCAGGGGTTGGTGCTCTGGCGTAGTGGGTAAAGCCGCTGCCTGCAGTGCCGGCATCCCATATGGGCACCGGTTCAGGTCCCAGCTACCCCGCTTCCAATCCAGCTCTCTGCTGTGGTCTTGGAAAGCAGAAGATGGCCCAAGTCCTTGGGCCCCTGAACTCGCGTGGGAGACCTGGAACAAGCTCCTGGCTCCTGGCTTGGGATTGGCGCAGCTCCGGCCGCTGTGACCATTTGGGGAGTGAACCAGCGGATGGAAGATCTCTCTCTCTCTCTGCCTCAGCCTCTCTGTAACTCTGCCTTTCAAATAAAATAAATAAATCTTAAAAAAAAAAAATAAAATCCAAAGTAACAATAGCTTCAGCAAGGTAAGAACTTACTTCTCCCTCCCTCGTGGAGATGGAGACGCAGATGATCCGTCCACGGCTGGCATGGGGACCTGCAGTCTCAGGACTCCAGGCTCCTGCTGTTTGCTTCAGCAGATACCCTCAATGTATAGCTTCTACCTCACAGTGTACTATGGTTACCTGAACTCCAGCCATCACTTCTACATTCCAGCTAGCAAGAAAGCAGAAGGAAGGAAGGAAGGAAGGAAGGAAGGAAGGAAGGAAGGAAGGAAGGAAGAAGGAAGGAAGGAGAGAGAGAGAGAGAGAGAGAGAGAGAGAGAGAGAAAGAGAGAGAGAAAGAAAGAGCTCATCCCTTTAAGGACACTTCCTGGAAGTTATGTCCATGCTCCTATCCACAAACTATGGACCAGAATTCAGTCACATTGCCCGAGCTGCAAAGGAGGCTGGGAGTTGTAGCCCTCACTCCAGGGAGCAAAGATTCTACCTCTGAGGAAAAAGGAGGAGCATTTCCTAAGGAAAATAGCAGTGCCTGCCATGTCCCTGCCCAAGCAGAGCACAGGAGAAGGAACGCTCCCCCCATCCCAGACCACCAGGCTGCACGCTCCTGACGTGTCCTCACCTTGCTTCTCTTTTTAAAATTGTGTTTATGTGAGATATAGAGACTGAGAGGGACAGATACAGCTCACATCTGCTGGTTCACCCCCCAAATGCCTGCAACAGCCAGGACGGAGCCAGGAACTGAATCCAGGTCTCCCCATCACTTGAGTCACCACCTGCTGCCTCCTAGAATCTCCATTAACAGGAAGCTGGAGTCAGGAGCAGGAGCCAGGTTTGGAGCCCAAGTACTCCGACAGGGAACAGACACAGCAGCTCTCTAGGCACCTGCCCCCACGGTTGAATTCTCCTGAAATCAGAAAAGACCCCCTAAAATCTACCCTGAAATGTGGCCCCTTAAAGTTCCCTAGAAATGCTATCCGGGGAGCCACATGTGCTACTGGAATTTGGGGTACCTTACGATTTCATCATGGGCTTATTACTAAATCCCCGATATTAATAAGCCCGAGAGGGTTCTTGCCTAATATTTAGAGAAGAATTCTAAATACCGGCACAGATCAACGAGGCAGCATGGTACATTGTAAGTTTTTATTTAGTGAGAAAGATGCATAGGAGAGTGAGAGCTTATTTAGGGGAGAGAGGTGAATGGGGGTTCATACCAAGCACCAGGAACCAGCCACATGGATGAGCATCCAGGCCAGGAAGCCTAGAGCACATGGCCCGAAGACCATGCGCCCTGGAGGCGCAGGGCTACAGCAAGCCCTGTCCTGGCAAGAGGCCAGGGAAGAAGAGCAGGCCGGGCCACACTGGCCACACCACTTCCAAAGGGGAGTGGTTAATTAACCTGATAGGCTGGTGGACACCCAGGTGTGGCCAGGTAGGGGAATGAGGCCACACAGGGGCATGGCAAAGGCATCAGGTAGAAGCATGAGGTCACACAGGGGCGTGGTCTTCCAGTTCACAAATCTGATCAATTTTAACCTGTATGCCTGCCTACTTCACTTCCTCTCTAACTGGTGTTCTTCAGGACTCCCTGGAGGCGGTTTTCTCCCTACAATATTAATTCTTCCGTAGAGTCCAGAGGCAGAATGATCCCTAATAAAATGCCCAAGCCAGCGCTCCCAGTTGTTGTGGGGATGGGGATCCCCAAATTATGTTGTGGGGTTCAGGACCCCCGGTTGGACTTCGTGCAGGTTCTTGTCCTCCTGTGTGTAAGAATACAACCAGGAGACGTAGGCAGAGGTGGACAGCAGGTAGTCCACACTGAGATGTGAGTGTGGGCAACCTTGAGAGAGAACTGCCCTTGTGGGCAGGCAGTGTGGTAAGGGGTCCCTTATACACTACTGAACGTCAAGCTCAGGCTAAGCCTCTGCCTGTGGCGCCAGCATCCCATATGGGTGCTGGTTCACGTACCAGCTGCTCCACTTCTGATCCAGCTCTCTACCATGGCCTAGGAAAGCAGCAGAAGATGGCCCAAGTCCTTGGGCCCTTGCGCCCTCATGGGAGACCTGGAGGAAGCTCCTGACTCCTCGCTTTGGATCGGCCCAGCTCTAATTTGGGGAATGAACCAGCGGATGGAAGACCTCTCTGTGTGTCTCTCCCTCTCTCTGTCTCTCCCTCTCTGTAACTCTACCTCTCTAATTCAATCAATCAAGCCTACTAGAGAAGAAAACGAACCTATGCTTTTTGCCTTCAACATGCTGTCTGTATGTCTCTCTCCTTTCCATTTCTACTGCATGCACCAGGCCTTGGACCCCAAAAGCCAGCTGCTCCTCATCAGCCCTGGTGCAGGTGGTTACTCAGTGCCTCCACTAGGGGGCTCACCTGAGCTGATGACACCGTCGAAGGGGTGGGGGATGAGGCGGACACAGCTGTCAATCCAGTAGACTGCCTCCGGCCCTTCTCACCTTATTCAGCCACTTAATAAGTTAAGTAGTTATTATGTTGCAACAGGGCTTATAATAATGGGTATCTGAAAACAAGCCAGGCACCCACCTTGATAATTAAACTATGGTATGTCCCCACAACAAAACCCTCTACAGTTCTCTCTGCCTAGAGAAAGGAACGAACCCCAGGGCACAGCCTGTGGATAATACCTGCTTTCACATCACAATGGAGAAAACAGGATGTACATTTGCATTTGTTTATTTTGTATAAAGAAACGCAGGGATCAGTAGTGGGCTTTTGGCACAGCAGTTACAAGGAGTGCCTAGGTTCAGTTCTCTGCTTCTGACTCCAGCTTCCTGCTAGTGCACGCCCTGGGAGGCAGCAGGTGATGGCTCCAGTTCTTGGGTCCCTACCATTCATGTGGGAGACCCAGATGGAGCTTCAGCCTGGACGTCTTGAGCCATCATCTGCTGCCTCCCAGGGTGCGCATTAACAGGAAGTAGGATGGAAGGTGGGCAAGACTAACCCCAGACACCACCATAAAGGACACATTGAACACCTGACCCGCTCAATTCTATTTTGAATTTGTGCTGTGGTGGAGTGAGCTGGGCCACAGCCTGCAGCGCCAGCATCCTGTCTGGGCGCTGGTTCAAGTCCCAGCTGCTCCACTTCTGATCCAGCTCTCTGCTGGTGTGCCTGGGAAAGCAGTGGAGGACAGCCCAAGTCCTTGGGCCCCGGCACCCACACGGAAACCCAGATGAAACTCCTGATTCCTGGCTTTGACCTGGCCCAGCCCCAGCCACTGCAGTCTGCCAGGGAGTGGACCAGCAGATGGAAGATCTCTCTCTGTCTTTCTCTCTAACTCTGCCTTTCAAACACATAAATAAATGTTTTTAAAAATTAGGTATGATATTTTAAAATATGGCTCTACTCTCAGCCTCTCCCAAGAAACGAGAACCAGATGGCCCAAAGGCCCACGTCGTCCCTTCCACCTGGGAGGGGAGAGCAGAACAGAAACCAGGGGGTGCGGGAGGCAAGGGCAAGAAGCCAGAGGCGCGGTGGGGAAGGGACCTGGGCGGGAGCCTACTGAGACCCTAGAGCGGGGTGCGGGGTGGGAAGTAGGCGAGTGGAACAAAGCGTTAACGGGGGCAACTGTGTGTGATTACTGTTTTCATCTATGCTTCTGAGTCTCACAAATTTGCTACTACGGCGTGCTGTAAGGTCAGAAGTGGTTATTTAAGTCTTCACGCGCGGAGAGCCGACGGCCGAGGCGCTGTGAGCGCCGCGGTGGCCGCCAGGGGGCAGCCACGCCTCGCAGCCCGCGCACCGCCGCCACAGGTGGCCGGAGGGGGCGCCAGCCGGCCGGGACCTGCCTGCGGTCCCCGCCTGCGGTCCCCCGGGTCCCGCGCGCATCGCCATTTGCTCTCCGCATGCCTCTGTCTCGGGCCATTTCCCACGTCACGGGTCGCCAGGGTCTGGGCAACCACGGCTGCCTGCAAGCTGGGGCAGGAGCGGGCCGGGCTGCCCGGGACCCTGGACAAAGGGAAGGCTCTCAGACCACCGCCCTGGGCTCCAAGACCCTTTCCTTTCAGGGAGGAACAGGAAACCGAGGCTGTTTCCGGGGATGGGATGCGGCCAAAGAAGGACCGGGGGTCCGGGGAGGGGAGAGGAGGAGAGGGAATGGGAGGGGAGGGGGGAGGGGAAGTTGGCTCGCAGTGGGGCTGCTTAGGGACTGGGGAGTGGAGGCTGGCCTTGCCCATCAGCATGTCTGAGCCCCTGGAAGGAGAGAGAAGGATCCCTTCTTGCAGGACATCCCTGAACGGTCCCCACTGTGCGCCCTTGGGGAGTTCCTGAGCCCTCTGGCCTTGCTCAGTCCTGTGTGACATCCAGCGATTGGATTAGGCGACCTTGGGGCCTCTCCCATGTCTTCTGCCTTCACCCTTCCCCACCTGGGCCGGCCCTAAGCTGGCGCCTGCCCCAGCAAAGGCCTGCAGGAGAGGAGGCAGCCCTTGCTGGCAATAGTGTCCCCCTGGCATGGCTGTGGGGAGCATGGAGCCAGGGGGTCCTGAAGGCAGAGCCCACCCTCCAGACACCACAAGGATTCTTCTAGCCCCCAGCGCACACCCTTCCCACGCAGAGAAGGAAGGTGAGAGCAGGGGCAGTTGCTCTAGGGTGACTGCTATTAAACCAGCAGACGGGAGAGTAATGTTTGCGATCCTCGCATGCTCACTTAATTTGGGCCTCTGCTCTTAGCTACTTCAGGTACCACCAGTCCTCACTCGACCAGTTCCTGGGAGAGGCAAAGACCACACTAGCAGTGTTCAAAATCCTGACTCTAAGAAAGTGATGTGATCCTTGGGGGATTCTGGACTGGGTGCCTGAGGCACGTTACAGACTCCTGTTTCCATGAGCTTTGGAAATCAAACGTCTGGGGCCAGCGCTGTGGCACAGAGGGTTAAGCTGCCATCTGCAGAGCCAGCATCCCATATGGCTGTCGGTTCGAGTCTCAGCTGCTCCACTTGCAATCCAGCTCCCTGCTAATGCACCTGGGAAAGCAGTGGAGGATGGCCCAAGTGTGGGAGACCTAGAGGAATTCTAGGCTCCTGGCTTCTGCCCAGCCCAGCCCACAGTCATTGTGGCCATTTGGAGTGTAAACCAGCAGCAGATGGAAAATCTCTCTCTCTCTCTGTCCTCTTCACCCGGTCACTCTGATTTTCAAACACACACACGCGCATACACACACATTTAATTGACTTGCTGTTCAATTCTAGAATCAGGTAGAAATTCATTCCACAGAATAAGTGTTCCAAATAGCATGATAGGGGAATAGGCAGGGAGGTAGGGGGAAATTAGCTGAATGGTTTTCCCACAATTTCTGTGTCTTGCAGCCCTGCACTTTAACCCCCCCCCCCCTTACATGCACCTGTGCCTCCTCCACAGGAAGGAGGGGATGCTGAGATGAGCACATGGGAGCCAAACTCCATGTGGAGATGTTGAGAAACGCCTGAGGGGGGCGCTGTGGAGCTCCTGGCTGAGGCCATTTGGGGAATTTAATTTTAAAACCAGCAAGTTTCAAATAAAATGTAGTCTTCAAACTACTTCACTGTCCTTTCATCAACTTTACACACATTCGGTCTTCACTGTCTGAGCAAATCACTCTGAGCTTCCGCATGGTCCTCCACTTTCCCTCAGCATGACACCTGTTCCGCAGCTGAATTTATAGCGTCACAGCGTTCCCAACCAGCTCCGGCCTCCACACGTCCTCACGCCAGATCTCACGTTCTTGTCTCTTCCCAAAGCTCCAGGTCGCTGCCTTCCAGAAGTTACTGGTTGATTCTCTGAAACACCTGCTCTCTTTGTTGTTTCAGGGGCTTTTCTGTCTTCTGCTTCCTTTCTGCCACTTTGAAGAGTTTCCGCTCTTTCCTCCTCTTCATAAAGGTCTTCTTTCCAGCGTCCCTATTCAGCTTAGATCAGAAGAGATTCTTGTGACTCTCAGTAAGGACACTGCACCCTCTGAGGATTCAGTTACTGCAGACTGCTTGTCATTAACACTTTATTATAATTATTATTATTATTAAAGATTTACTTGAAAGGCAGAGTTACAGACAGAGAAGTCGTCCATCTGCTGGTTCACTCTACAAATGGCCGCAACAGCCAGAGCTGAGCTGATCTGAAACCAGGAGCCAAGAGCTTCCTCTGAGTCTTCCACTCCCACACGGGTGCAGGGGTCCAAGCACTTGGGCCATCTTCTACTGCTTTCCTGGGCCATAGCAGAGAGCTGGATGGGAAGAGGAGCAGCCGGGACTTGAACCGGCGCCTATATGGGATGCCAGCACTGTAGGTGGCGGCTTTACCCGCTGTGCCACAGCACCAGCCCCTGCCCCTTTCTTGTTTTCTCCCTCATGCTCTCTCCTCTTGGGCGCCTCCCTGGCTTCTCACTGGAAGCTTTCCTCCTCATGGAGTTACCTGTACTCCCACTTGAGAGAGTTCTTACTCTACAGCTTTAAATAAGTCTTGCTCTCATGTTTGCACATTATTTATGCCTCTGCTTTTCAATTCTTATCTCCACTGGGGGCAAGGACTGGGAATAAAAACCAGAAACACATTCCTACAAGTTGAGTGGAGGAGGTTGCTTTTACAGACCCTGGGAGGCAGCAGTGAGGGCTCAAGTACTTGGGTCCCTGCCACGCATGGCGGGGTGGGGTGGGGGGTGGAGGGGCCTGGATTGGGTTCCTGGCTGCTGTCCTTGACCTAGCCCCATTTCAGGAATGAATCAGGGATTGAGAGCGCGTGCTCTCTCTCTCTTCTCTCTTCTCTCTCTTCTCTCTCTCTCTCTCTCTGCCTTACAAAGTGAGAGAGAGGGTAAAGAATTAAAGAAAGTTTAAACAAAACACCCTAGAAAGTGGACTGGTTATTTCACAGTTACTTTTCTGTTAGGAAGAAGACAGAATAGTAAAATACCAACTGGCTGCTTAGCAGTCACATTGCCTTTTTTGTGTCGGATTAAGGCAGAGGGAACCTCATATCTTGCCCACTGAAACTGGCCTGTTTTGGGGCCAGCATTGCAATGCTGCTGGTTAAGCCACCTCTTGCTATGCTGGCATCCCATTCCAGAGAACCAGATCAGGTCACAGCTGCTCCACTTCTGATCCAGCTTCCTGCTAACACACCTGGGAAAGCAGCAGAAGACAGCCCACGTGCTTGGGGCCGCTGCACCCATGTGGGAGGCAAAGGATGGAGCTCCTGATTTCTGACTTCCACCTGGCCAGACTTGGCCGTTGTGGCCGTTTGTTGAGTGAACCAGCAGATGGAAGATCTCCCTGTCTCTCCCCCTCACCTCCCTATCACTCTGCCTTTCAAATACATAAAGAAATCCCAAGGAAGGGAGGGAGGGAGGGAGAGAGAGAGAGAGAGAGAGAGAGAGGGAGGGAGAGGGAGAGAGAAACTAGCTTGTTTGGGAGATTTGGCTATTATCTCCCTAATCCCGATTTTTCAGACGGTCGGATCAACAGCTCAGTTTTGGCTTGGTGATGGGCATTTTAGTGTGAGTGACTCCATTTCGATTCTGAGCCAGGGCTACTGGGGCCTAGGGCAGGAGCTTGGTCCAAAGCAGAGACCTCCTGCAGCCTTTGTTTAACACTGTAAATCTGCTGCATTTCACAGGTCACTTCCAGTTCTAACAATCTCCTGATTTTCTCTTCATCTGTAGTCATCTATTTTCCCTTCCTGTAACAGCTGGGTGACTTGAAAAGAAAGAGCTTGTTTAGCCCACAGCTCTGGAGGTTCTCGGGGCTGGTGCTGGCATGAACTTGGACGTGGCAAGGACTCTGGGTAGAGGGCATCACAGTGGTGGGAGTACCTGCCAGGGGAGAGAGCACCTGGCCATACAGGGCGCTGGGAGCACCAGGAGAGGCCAGACTTAGTCTTTTTTTTTTTTTTCAGATTTATTTATTTGAAAGGAAGAGCTACAGAGAGAGAGAAACAGAGAGAGAGAGAGAGAGAGAGAGAGGTCTTCCATCTGCTGGTTCACTCCCCAGATGGCCACAACAGCTGGAGCTGTGCTGATCCGAACTCAGGGTCCCATGGAACTACCTTAATCCCATCGGAGTGTGGAGCTCCTATGACCTTGTCTACTCCCTGTTATGGCCACCCCTTGAAGACCCCACCATGTCTCAACATTCCAGACTTCCAGCACGGGAGCACTTGGGGGATACCCTCGAGGCACATCCAGGTCTCCCACATGTGTGCAGGGGCCCACGCACTTGGGGCATCCTCCACTGCTTTCCCAGGCACGTTAGCCACCAGCTGGATGGGAAGTGGAACAGCTGGGACTAGAACTGGCGCCCATGTGGGATGCTGGCGTCTCAGGCAGCGGCTTACCTGCTGCGCCACACACTGGCCCCTGGGTAGTATTCTCTACTGAAAGGAACTGGAAAAGTTGCTCCACTTCTGGGGACATGGTTGCTTTCACACGTAAGACAGAGGAAGCACAAAATGATCCTGGATACCTCATTGTTGCAGACAGTAAAGAAGTGCTCAGAGAATTACAGCAACGTGTCAGGAGCCAGCTTAACAGAGTTCCCGTGCCGAATCCAAAATACAGTGACTGAGAAAATAAATGACAGTAATGGATTATAGTCCATCCCCTAAAGTCAGAATCCAATGCCAAAGTGCCAAAAGAATGAAGGCATGAGTGAATGATTTCTTCCTTACATGAAACGGCAACTAGAAATATGGAAGTAATGATAGAACCAGAAACTGCCATTTGGTTATTACATTTTCTAGCAAATTCTCTCATCCTACAAGCCCTTCTTATAACGTGACTGACAATTTCCATCTCAAGCTAGAAACTGCCCCCTCCCCTTCAAACAGAGTGTGTGTGTGTGTGTGTGTGTGTGTTTGCGACTGCTTTGGCCAGTGGAGTACAGCTGCAATGACAGCATGTGGCTTCCACAGTCTTTCTTTCCTTTATTTTATTTGAAATCAGAGTTACACAGAGAGAGGAAGCAACACAGACACAGAGAGATCTTCCATCCTCTGGTTTACTCCGCCAAATAGCCGCAGTGGCTGGGGCTAGGCCAGGCCAAATCCTGGAGCAAGGAGCTTCTTCCAAGTCTCTCACATGGGTGCAGGCGCCCAAGCACTTGGGTCATCCTCCACTGCTTTCCTAGGCTCACTAACAGGGAGCTGGATTGGAAGTGGAGCAGCTGAGTCTCCAACCAGCGCCCGTATGGGATCCCAGCATCAGAGGTGGCGGCTTTGTCTACTATGCCACAACACTGGCCCCAGTCTGCTTTATTCCCCAGAATACTTACCCTTGGAGTCTGGGTCACCAACTTAGCAGCTTGACTGGCCTGGGCCCCTGTGAGGAATCCCAAAGTGCCCAGCAGAGAAAGGCCGTATGACTGAGGCTCTCTACAGAGAAGGGGACACCTGGCCGGCCCCCAGCTGTTCCAGCTCTACCCCTGCTTTCACTGCAATCCCCCAAGAGACCCAAAGGCAGAACTGCACGGCTGGGCCCTTCCCAGATTCCTGGCCCACAGAAACGGGGAGATCAGAAGCCTGCATGTTTGTTTTAAGCTACGGTTTGGGATAACTTGTGACACAGAAATAGTTGTGCGGACCGGCAACCATCATGCGATAGACTCAGATCTAAGTGCTCGCGGCAGTGGGCGTTTGGTCTGGTGGCTAAGACACTACTTCAGACCCCTGCATTGCGTGTCACGGTGTCTGGGTTTCCCTTCCAGCTCTGGCTGCCGACTGCAGCTTCCTGCCCATGTGCACTGAGGGAGGCAACAAGTGATGGCTCCAGTGGTCGGGTCCCTGCCACCCACATGGGAGGCTCAGCTTGAGTTCCAAACTCCTGACGTTGGCCTGGCCCAGCTCTGGGTGTTGTGGGCATTTGAACCAGTGAATGGGAGAGCTCTCTGTGTCTCTCTTTCTGCCTTCCAAAGAAATAAATATTTAAAATTTTCAATGAATGCAAAAGTTAATGGGTAAAATTTTAATGAGGAATACAATTTTTAAAAAAAACATTTATTTATTTGAAAGTCAGCATCACAGAGGAGGAGAGAGAACAAGAGAGAGAGAGAGAGAGAGAGAGAGAGGTCTTCCATCTGCTGTTTCAATCCCCAAATGGTCTCAATAGCCAGGGCTGTGCCAGGCTGAAGCCAGGAGCCAGAAGCTTCATCCGGGTCTCCCACATGGGTGTTAGGGACTCAAGCACTTGAGCCATCTTCTGCTGCTTTCCCAGGCCATTAGCCAGGAGCTGAATCAGAAATGGAGCATCCAGGTTATGAACTGGTGCCCATATGGGATCCCGGCACTACAGGTGGTGGCTTTACCCACTATGCCACGGCGCCGGCCCTAGGAATACAGTTTTTACATAAATTGTTTCTTGGTGTCATAAAGGGGAAATGATAATTTTACAGTGGTGAATTGTGGCAGGTATCTCCCAAAGAACGTGGTCAAACTCAATACACCTTGTAGAGACAAACCGACAGGACAGTCATTGCTGTTGCTGCCGGGACACTGATCTGTCACATTTGTTGATTTTTGTGGTGTTCAGTTTCCCACAAAGATCCATTTCAGTCCCAGCTGCTCCACTTCCGATCCAGCTCTCTGCTATGGCCTGGGAAAGCAGTAGAAGATGGCCCAAGTCCTTGGGCTCCTGCACCCATGTGGGAGATCCAAAAGAAGCTCCTGGCTCCTGGCTTTGGATTGGCCCAGCTCAGATCAATGCGGTCATCTGGGGAGTGAACCAGTGGATGGAAGACCTCTCTCTTTCTCTCTCTCCCTCTTTCTGTCTGTAACTCTACCTCTCAAATAAATAAATAAATAAATAGAATCTTTTTTTAAAAAGGTCTCTTCATAAGGAAATAGTAGACAAACCTGAAATGAAGAACATTCTGCAAAATGGTTAGCCTGCACTCTTCCAAAGTAGGAGGTCACCAAAGGCAAGGAAAGCCTGAGGAGCTGTTTCAGACTGAAGGAGACCAGGCAGATGGGAGAAAGCATGCAGCAATGCAGCAGGGATCAGAGACTGGGTTCTGGACTAGGAAAAAACAACAAAACTCTCAGCAGGGCCAGGGCAGGGCCAGGCGGTGGTGTCTCATCTACGTGAACTGTCTGACTTGGGTGGCACCCCATGTCTCATTGGGAGGACCTCGCTGTCTTTGGGAGACACACACTGGAGAATTTAGGAGTGATGGGCAGAATGACTGCACTGGGCTCATTTGGCTAGAAAAAGGCAGGATAGTGAGTAGGACGAGATACAGCCAACGTTGTAAGGTGCTGACAGCCAGGGAGCTTCGGCAGGCAACGTGTTAGCGTTCTTTATATTAGTCTTGCAATTTGTCTAAAGGTTGGAAATTATTTGAAAATGATAAGAAAAATGTTCCCTGGGCGTTTAGTTCAGTGGGATCAACCTGATAAAGTAGGCGTGAAAACAGGAAAGAAATGGATGTGAAGGCAAAACCATCTCTGGTTCCTTTTTGCCAAATCAGAGATCACACGAGTCCGGGTGATCTATGCTGAGGCCCCTGTGGGCATGGCTACATGCTCCATGGAAGGCCATTCCCGGGCAGGCAGGTGGGGCAGTGGTTAAGCCACTGTTCAGGACCTGCACCCCATTTTGGAGGGCCTGGGTTCCGATCTTGACTCCGTTTCCCATTCCAGCTTCCTACAATGCAGACCCTAAGAGCCAGTAGTGAGGGCTCAAGTAGTGGCCACTGCTGTAGGAGACCTAGACTGAGTTCCTAGCTCTTAACTTCAGCTCCAGATCCGCTCTCACCATTGTGGACATTTGGGGAGTGAACCAGCCGATGAGAGATCTCTCTCTTTGTCTCTCTATCTCTCGGTGTCTCACCTTCTCTAAATAAACAAGCAAACAAGCCACATTCTGTTACGTTCTGTTTTTGCCAGTCATGGAATGAGTCAGCTGTGTCAGGACCAGAATGAAATCTGCTGGGATTAGTTAAGGCAGGATGTTGGAGGCCATCTCACTCCACCTGGAACAGTGTGTGTTGAAGGACCCCTGGTCAGCAAGGCTTTTCTCAGTAATGAGCGACAGGTGCAGAAGGGGCCCGGCTACCCCCCTCACCCCCTACCACCCCCCACCAAGATGCAGTCCTGGCTCTGGTTCTGGTTCTGGTTCACATCCTTTAGTTGGGTAAGGACAGATCTGGCTTCTTGACTTCCTTCTTCCAAAGCCCAGGCCAAGAGCCAGAATCTATCATGAGGTCTTCTGCTTGGGGGCACCGAGTCCCCTCTGCCTCAGCAGCCAGCTCAGCAGACACAGATGGCACCCATGCAGTCCACACACGTTTTATGGAGCACAAACTGCGCCTGGGAAACAAAGTTAGTCTCTGGTTTGCAGCATTTGGGAACAATCGCTGGCGTCTGCCCACGTGCAGCTTACAGTCTGATGGGGCGAGACTGTGGACAAATGAATACCTCACTGTCAGAATCGTGAAGGAACTGAGCCAGGTGCCTGGAGAGAGCGACAGGGTAGGGTCAAGATAACTGTTCTGAGGCAGTGGCCTGACACTGAAACAGAAGTGACCGGGACGGAGTCAGACCAAGGTAGGACGAACGAGCGTCCCCTAGAAAAAGAATGGGAGAAGACCCCGGTGCAGCACAGGGTCTGGGGTGTTTGAGGAGCAAAGAGCCTGTGTGGACAGACCTGGGGTCTCAGAGGGGAGCGAGGCTGCAGGCATCCAGATTAAACAGGGTAGTGTCTCCCTTCCTGGGCCTGCCTTCACTTTGCGCACAGCTCTGCCCCCAGGAGCACTCCACCATGGGGCGGGGGCAGGGCCTCGCTGCTGCCTGGTTTATGAGTGGCTTATGCAAGAAGCCATTCCCAAGGAGCTTTACTAGCGGGAAAGGGAAAACAAACAGAGGAACACAGAAAGCAAATGAGTTCAAGAGAGAGAAATTTCCCAGGCAACAGTTTAAGAACAAGAGCAGAGGTGGGGGCAGGCGTTGTGATGCAGCAGGTTAAGCCTGTTTGAGTTCCAGATACTCTACACTTCCACTCCAGCTTCCTGCTAATGCACCTAAGACGGCAGGGGGCGACCCAAGTCATTGAATTCCTGCCCCCCATCCAGGCCAAAGCCAGGAACCAGGAGCTTCTTCCCAGTCTCCCACAAGGGTTGCAGGGATCCTCACACTTGGGCTATCTTCTGTCGCTTTTCCCAGGTCATTAGCAGGGAGCTGGATGGGAGGTGGAGCAGCCAGGACTCGGATGCAGCTGATGCTGTATGGGATGCCAGCATCACAGGCCACGGTGGCTTTACCCGCTACACCACAGTGCCAGCCCCCTCAGTTTAGGTTTTATGAATTGATCAGACAGTAATTGTAAGGCACAAAACTGAGTTTCAAACCTCGCTGCATCTAGTGCCATGGTCGGTATTTGTCTTTCTATTTTCCTTTGTTTCTAGAATTGTTATCTGGGAATCTTATGTTGTGATCTTTATAGAATGTGTTGCAGATTCTTCTACTTGTAAGTCAGCATAACTAGCTGTATGTATTTACTTTTCTAGATTTATTTTTATTTTATTTATTTGAAAGACACAGTTACAAAGTGTCTCTGTGTGTGTGTGAGAGAGAGAGAGAGAGAGAGAGAGACCTTCCATCTGCTGATTCAGTCTCCAAAAGACCACAATGGCCAGAGCTGGGCTGATCTGAAGCCAGGAGCCAGAAGCTTCTTCCAGGTCTCCAATGTGGGTGCAGGGTCCAAGCATTTGGAGCATCCTCCATTGCTTTCACAAATGCATTAGCAGGGAGCTAGGTTGAAAGCGGAGCAGCCAGGACTTGAACTGACACCCATATGGGAGATCAGCACTGCAGGCAGCACTGTACCCGCTGCGCCACATCGTCGCCTCCTGTGCTACTTTAACTTCTATATTTAACAGTATTCTTCTGACACTGTCAATTGCTGAATCCCAGTGGCCACCACTAACAAACCATGACCTATGCTCCTGGCTGCTCCCTCGCCAGCAGCCCCCACAGCACCTTCCCTGCCACTGGCACCCTCTTCACAGGGACGAAGGACAGACCCTGACTTCCCAGCCTCCCTTGAGGCTGGGGTCCCAGTGCTGGCCTGGGGGCTTCCTCCCCAATAAAAGAGACGCACTGGAGGAAATGCCACATCTTTGACTTCACTGGATATGGTCACCGCTAAAAGTGCATTCACCCTCAACAACCAAGCAGGGCAAAATCACCAACACAAAGAGCATAGCCAGGACTGCTTATAATGAGGAAAAGCAAGCGCTTTAAAATCCGCTGGGTACGCACACTCCATCTTGCGGCTGGACGCGTCCTGATGAGCCACATGCAATACGTGCGAATTCCACTTCTTCAACAGGGGTCCCTCCGCTGGTTAAGGCAGGGATTTTAGCAGTATTTCACCAGTTTTAAAGATTTCTTTTTCTTCTTTTAAATAAGAATATGATTTTTGGGTACCAAATACCCACATCCTGGCAGAACTGTGTCCAAGGAGCATGCATCTTGGAACTTTATTCGAGCCAGGATTACATTTCATACTCTCAAAACTCTTTCACACAAGCCACAAGTTCTTCAAAGTGAACAACCCCCCTTCCCACTCCATGCCCTGCAAACAACTCTATAAATCTCCTAAAGCAGACTTAAATCTAAATTGGATCTTTTTTTTATTATTTATTTATTTGACAGGTAGAGTTGCAGACAGAGAGAAAGGTCTTCCTTCCATTGGTTCACCCCCCAAATGGCTACTACGGCTGGCACGCTGTGCCAATCCGAAGCCAGGAGCCAGGTGCTTCCTCCTGGTCTCCCATGCAGGTGCAGGGGCCCAAGCACTCAGGCCATTCTCCATTGCCCTCCCAGGCCACAGCAGAGAGCTGGACTAGAAGAGGAGCAACCAGGACTAGAACCCGGTGCCCTTATGGGATGCCAGCGCCGCAGGCGGAGGATTAAGCAAGTAAGCCACAGCGCCAGGCCCCTAAATTGGATCTAAATGGACTCAAAATGTCAAGAGAACGAGCTGCTCGCACAGGGTGCTTCCTCTGGGAGACAGTGTGATGCAGCAAGGTTTAAGCCTAGCGTGGGGTGCAGGCTGCCCCCTCCCCTCTTCTGAGCATGACAGGTGTCTGTGGCAGAGAGCTTGAAGGGTGCAGCAGAGAGCTTCCCTTCCTGCTGGGCCCCTTTGGAAGGGCTTGCCCCAAATCTTCCCTTTGAGCTGAAACTGCAGCCATGGTCTTTGCCGAGGGTCACGCCTTTGAAGGACCGCAGTGTGCGTGGGACTGAGAGCTGACGGGGTGACCCCATGGACTGGGCTTTGGGATGCGGCCAGGCTGAAGGCATTTCCGAAAGAATAGCAGCCAAGGACTGCTTGGGATAGGGACAGTCTCCCCTTCAGCACTGGTGAGTGTGGACAGAGCAGGCTGCCTCCAGCTGCGTGACTGTGGATGGTTAGTTAACCTCTCAAAAAGCACAAGTCACTAGTAACACAGACATCGTCAGAAAGGTTCACATTCAGGCTCCAAGGCTCCAATACTCACTGCCTCTTTAACATGGGGCCAGTAATATGATCTTTGTAGCCTTGGGCTTTTCATCTGTAAAATGGGCATAAAACCCTTCCGAGCAGAGCTCGGTGAGACTTGGCAATGCTGCAGGTTAAGTGCCTGTACTGTTGCTGCTGCAAGGATTAAGAGCGATACTGCTCAGAGAGGCGGGGACTCCAGGTGTCTGCGTGGTATGAGCCTTGCTTTGCTGGTGGTGCATGCTGCAGCCGACAACCCCCAGGCCTGCACCTGCCACTCCTGCCTGAGACCTCTGTTACGTGGCCTTTTAAAAAGGAACAGCAGCAGGGCCAGTGTTGTGGCACAGCAGGTTGAGCCACAGCCTGAAACACTGGTGTCCCATAAGGGCACTGCCAGTCCAAGTCCCCGCTGCTCAACTTCCTATTCAGCTCCCTGCTGGTGCACCTGGGAAGTACATAGAAGATCAACTCTATACTAAGTAGATTTCAATAATTTGCACACACATGCACACACACAAAAACTGTTTGAAAACTAGTTTTACAGTTAACTCTCATAATACAATTCATTGAGGACAGAGGTCCTGCATGGGGAGTTAGTGGACTGTGACTCCTGTTGTTAATTTAACAATTAACACTCTCATGTAAGATGTCAATGACCACCCAAGACTCTTGACATGAGCTGCCTAGGCTATGGAAGCCCTTTGAATCCATAAACTCTGTCAGTATTTAGACAAGGCCATAAGTAAAGTGGAAATTCGAGAGAGATATTTTCCATCCACTGGTTCACTCCCCAGATGGCTGTAACAGCCAAGGCTGAGCGGGTCACCCACAGGGGGTGCAGGGGCACACAACCTGTACCATCCTTCACTGCTTTCCCAGGAGCATTAGCAGGGAGCTGGATCAGAAGAGGAGCAGCTGGGATTTGAACCGGCGCCCATATGGGATACCAGCACCGCAGATTACCTGCTATGCCACAGCGCAAGCCCCAACTCCTCTGCTTTTAAGCCTTCCACATCCTGCTAATGTGTACCCTGGGACGCAGCAGGTAATGGTTCAAGTCTTTACTCCCTGCCCTTCCCCTCGTGTGTGAGAAAGTCAGATTGAATTTGGGGCTCCTAGCTTCAGCTGGGCATTTGGGGAGTGAACTAGCAGTTGGAAGATCTCTCTATCTGCACTCTTTAAATAAAACGAAAATAAAGAAAGAAAAACAAAAGTAGAATGAGTGATAATGGAGTTGGGAAAGAAAAGATTGCATTTTTGCCTGAAATAAATGCCTCCTTATCAGAGGCCATGCCATGCACCTTCCAGGCATCTGCATCCTATCTTCTCACAGTTTTCAGGGCCCTGTGCCTTAGCCCTGCACTGCTGTGTGTGTGTGTGTGGTGGGGGAGAAGATAGTAGAGAGAGACAGAGAGAGACACAGAGAGTCTAGGACAGAGAGAGAGTGTGTAAGAGCCCTGCACCAGGCAGCGGTCAGTGGTCCAAGTCCTTGGGCGTTCCTGCCACCCACATAGGATAGACACCCGGGCGGAGCTCCAAGCTCCTGGCTTTGGCCTGGCCCAGGACCAAAGATCTCCATTACTCTGCCTTTCAAATAAATAAGTAGGTGAACAGTGTGGTCTTGAACAAAAGGCAAAAGGCAGAGGAGTGAGGAATCTTCATGTAATGACTATCCGAAGTCCCTGAATCCTTCCTTCTTCTGGAATGTTCTTTTTTAGCCATCTGGTTCTTCCACTCTCCCTTCCCCCCGGCCATGCCCCGCCTCCGCCTAGATGCAGGGCCAGTGCTGAGTTCTGACCAGCTCTGCTGGGCCACCAGTGACCCCATGTGTATCCCCCACTCCTCCCCTTCCTGCCAGGGACCACAGCAGGCTCCACAGGGACCCTCACTCTCCAAAAGTGGGGTGGGTCTGGGCACCATGGGAAAAGTTTTGCTTGTGCTTAGGTGAGGCCACGGGGCCTGCCCCAAACTTGCCCTGTATCCCATGAGGGTGGGTGGTGGCATGGATGTGGTGCGGGGGTGGGTGGGTCAGTTTGCCTCCACTGGACACCTGGGAAGTGCCACACGTCACCCAAGTCCCTGGCAGGGCAGCTGGATGCAGTAGCCATATGGCCTCTAGCTGAGACCCTGGACACTCCAGGAAACCTACAGCCCAACTGCTCCGGCGGCGCCCTGTCTCCCTTCAAAGGCAGGCAGGGGAGCAAGCAGCAGGACATCAAAGGCCTCCTGTGACAAAACACAGCTCCAGGGCTGGCGCTGTGGTGGAGTGAGCTAAGCCTCTGCCTGCAGCGTCTGCATCCCATTTAGGTGCTGGTTTGTTTCCCAGCTGCTCCACTTCCGATCCAGCTCTCTGCTATGGTCTGGGAAAGCAGTGGAAGACGGCCCAAGTGCTTGGGCCCCTGAACCCAAATGGGAGACTTAGAAGAAGCTCCTGGCTCCTGGCTTCACATCCGCCCAGCTCTGGCCATTGCAGCCATTTGGGGAGGGAACCAAAGGATGCAAGACCTCTCTTTGTTCTTCTTGCCTTCTCTCTGTCTGTAACTCTACCTCTCAAATACATAAACTTAAAAAACTTAATAGCTTCATGACAGGATGAAAGTCTTGACCCAGCCACTGGCTTACCTGTTCTTACTCTCAGTGCTGGGGGCTGTGCTGTCCCGCCCCACCTCTGCACAAGGCTCAGCATTAGAGCAGCCACTCTTCCACATACAGGCAGAGTTCTTCCTCTGGCAAAACAGAAAGGAGGGGCAAGTGTTAAGGCATAGCTATTGATGGGGCCGGCACTGTGGTGCAGCAGGTAAAGCCACTGTCTGCAGTGCAGGCATCCCATATGGGTGCCGGTTCAAGTCCCAGCTGCTCCTTTTCCAATCCAGATCTCTGCTATGGCCTGGGAAAGCAGTTGAATACGGCCCAAGTCCTTGGGCCCCTGCACCCACATGAGAGATCCAGAAGAAGCTTCTGGCTTCGGATCGGTGCAGCTCCAACCACTGTAGTCAACTGGGGAGTGAACCAACAGATGGAAGACCTCTGTGTGTGTGTGTGTGTGTGTGTGTATGTAACTCTGCCTTCCAAATGAATAAAGCCTTTTTTTTTTTTTTTTTGGACAGGCAGAGTGGACAGTGAGAGAGAGACAGAGAGAAAGGACTTCCTTCCATTGGTTCACCCCCACAAATGGCCGCTATGGCCAGCGCGCTGCGCTGATCTGAAGCCAGGAGCCAGATGTTTCCTCCTGGCCTCCCATACGGGTGCAGGGCCCAAGCACTTGGGCCATCCTTCACTGCCTTCCCGGGCCACAGCAGAGAGCTGGACTGGAAGAGGAGCAACCGGGACAGAATCTGGAGCCCCATCCAGGACTAGAACCCGGGGTGCCGGCGCCGCAGGTGGAGGATTAGCCTATTGAGCCATGGTGCCGGCCCAATAAGTAAATCTTTAAAAAGGCACAGTTACTGGGACACTGCTTGGGACAATTGCATGCCACATTGGAGGACCTGGGTTAGAGCCCCTGGCTCTATTCCAGCTGCCAGCTACCTGCTAGTGCACACCCTGGGGGACAGCAGCTGTTTGGGTCCTGGATTAAGTTCCCAGATCCCAGCTTCTACCAATACTAACCCTGACTATTTCAGGGCCTAGAGGAGTGAATCAACAGATGAGAGAGCTCTCTCTCTGTCAGATCAAAAGAAATAAATACATAAAAGTTTTTAAAGAAAATGGGGGCCAGCATGTGACGTATCAGGTAAAGCTGCCGCCTGCAGCCCCGGCATCCCATATAGGCACCGGTTCAAGTCCCAGCTGTTCCACTTCTGATCCAGCTCTCTGCTATGGCCTGGGAAAACAGTGGAAGATGGCCCAAGTCCTTGGGCCCCTACACCTGCGTGGGAGACCTGGAAGAAGCTCCTGGCTTAGGATCCACCCAGCTCCAGCTATTGAGGTCATTTGGGGAGTGAACCAACAGATGGAAGCCCTTTCTCTCTGTCTCTGCCTCTCTGTAACTCTGCCTTTCAAATAAATAAATAAATCTTAAAAAGGGGGAGACACAATTTAGAATATCTTGATTTTTGAAATGAGTTCTAATTGAAGACCTGTGAATTTGTAGAGAAATAATAAACTATGTACTCCTTACAGGCTAGTATATGGGAAGCATCAGCTCCACCTACCAGAAAGCAGACTGAAAAAAAAAATCGAGATTCAGGCAAAGGAGGTTCCCATCCACTGGATCCAACATGGACGTCCATACATTTCCTGGGCACTATAAATGCAGAACCCCAGCCACACGGGGTTGGAGCAGCCTGTTCTTCAAGACTTCCTTTAATAAAACCCTCTCTTTTAAAAAAATTTTATTGAGTTTATTTATTTTCATCTATCATGAAAGAGCAACAGAAAAGGAGAGAGAGAGAGAGAGAGAGAGAGAGAGAGAGAGAGAGAGAGACCTCACTCCCGAAATGCCTGCAACAGCCAGGACTTGGCCAGGTCAAAGCCAAGAACCAGGGACTTCATCTGGGCTCCCACATGGGTCAGCAGAGGCCGGAGAGCTATCACCCGCTGCATTGCAGAAAGCTCGAGCAGGAAGCTGAATCAGAAGCAGCGCAGCTGGGACCAGCTCCAGAACCAGCACGCAGATACAGGATGCCGCTGTCCCAGGAGACGGCTGAATCTGCTGCCTGACAACATCCGCTCTTCAAATAGGTCTCCTGCTCTCCCTTTGCTTGCTCATTATCTTGCAACCAATCTTTTTTTGTTTGTTTAGATATTTATTTATTTATTTGAAAGGCAGAGCAATAGACAGAGAGAGAGATATGGAGTGAGAAATCGTTTTTTGCATTGATTCCTTCCCCCTAAAGCACTGCAAGAGCCAGGTCTCTGGGTAAAGACAAAGCCAGGAGCCAGGAACTCCAACCTGGTCTCCAATATGGTATCAGCTTCCATAACATAATATTGCCAAGTTTTACTGTCAGAGACACCATTAAAAGACATCTGGTCCAGCAGTTAAAAGGCAGCTTTGGACGCCTGCAATCCACATTGGAGTGCCCAAGTGCCAGCTCCACTTCTGAGTGCAGCTCCCTGCCGATGCGCGCCCTGGGAGGCAGCAGGTGATGGCTCAAGTGCTTGAGTCACTGCCTCCCTCGTGGGAAACCCTGGCTCAGTCCCAGCTGTTGCGGGCATTATGGGGGGAGTGCCTCAGTGGATAGAACCTCTCTCTGTCTGCCTTTCAAATTAAAAAAAAAATTTTTTTAAAGAGAAAGACATCATGCAAGTACAGAAATTTGAGGCTCAAAGGAGCTTCAGGGGAACGTGGGAGCAGTTGCTCAAGGATTCTCTAGGACTCCAGTCTCAAACTCCCATGGAATTCACTTTCCCCTCCAAAGCATTGTTGGTTTAGCAAGCCCTGAGTTTCCACCGCGTGCCAGGCTTTACATCATAATCTCATTTAATCCCCAGAACTACACTCTGGTGGGTAGGTGGGTCTCATTTTACAGTTAAGGATTCAGAAGCTTAAAAAGGCGAAGAAGTCCCACTTCACCGCGTGGTTGCTGGGGGCCGGGCTTGCCCCGCGGTGATGGTGATGGTGAGGGCTGCTGCCACCGGTGTGAAGGTGACACTGGCCTTCCAGGGAGAATGGGAGGAAATGCCTGGGTCTCACCCCCCACCCTCATCAAATCAGAGCCTCTGGGCCCAGCCTGGGTGTCTTTTTCGACCTCCTGTGGCCCTGCCCAGCCGCGTGCAGCCAGGCTTACGCCCTGCAGGGTTTGGGTTGTGACAACCAGGCGAACAACACGATTACAGTAGAGCGCGTGCTGTCGTAACGCCGAGCCGGCACAAGGGCGAGTTTTCTTGCCCAAGTGACACCAATCGCACGAAACCGCAGGCACTAGAAGCATCCGCCAGGAGTCCAGGGAACAGCACCGAGGAGGCGTGGGGGAGGGGCGCGCCAGTAGGGCGCTGTCCAAGAAAATGTCTCGGCACGACCGTGGCGGGGTCCTCCGCCGGCACAGCGCGCATCTCTCGGGTGCCCCATCCGGGAGAGCCGGCAGGGCAGGCCCCTTGAGGTCCCGCGAGCTCCTGCTAAAGACTCGGACCCAGTTTTGGGCCTCCGATTCTGGCCGTGGGGGAAGGGACTGGAGCCCAGGGGATAAGACCCGCCCAGCGACTGTTGCTACAGGCAAGTAGCCTTTGTTACAGGGCATTAGTAACACAATGGGAGGCTGAGCCGCCAGGATAGTCCATCAACATCACCCCGGGCCCTGAATTAGCCCCGTCCCCGAGGGGCAGGCAAGGCGGCTCCGCAAAAGCATTCCAGCCGAGGCGGTTTTTAGTTGTTAATGTCTGGAGGGCCTCCCGCGCCGGCTGACGGGAGGCGCTAAGGCCTGGACTCTCCCTTGCAAGGGGCCTTTGTTCCAGGGTCAGGCCAGAACAAATGGTCAAATCCCATCCCCCTCAGCCTCGCCCAGGACCCTTCCTTCCACCTTCTGCAATGGCTGGCAGCGCAGGCAGAGAGAGAGAGAGAGAGAGAGAGAGCGAGCGAGTGAGAGGTCGGGGTCGGGAGCAGAGCAAGTGCCTGCGTGGGCCCACTGCGGAGAAGGGGCAGGTGGAGCCCTCTTCCCTGCAACCCAGATTCTCCGTGGCTCCCCACCCCCCACCACCTCCGCCGCCACCATGATGGAAGTCACAGCCCTCAAACCTATAGAGACCCTGGCCCTCTCTCTGCCACCTTCTGCTGGCCTTGAGAGCTCAAGGCTCCTAATTCACAAGCTCGCCGTGCCAAGAAAGTCATCGGGGCTTGACCCGCAGAAGCTATTCCGCTTCCAGGGCCATGTCCATGGCAGGGGACGCATCAGTTCAGCCTGTCCTAGGAATATCATCCTTCCTCTGGGGAAATTGCAAAACTGAAGCCCATCCTCCTTTTAAGATGAGCATGGCTATGCGGGTGCCCAGAGAGTCCAGTGTGGCAGGGAGAGTGGACAGCCAGTGTGCCCCCATCAGTCTCTGGCCTGTTTCCACATCTGTAAGAAAGAGCGAACGCCTCCTCCCACAGAGGAGCCAATGTAGGCAAAATGGTTTGCGAAGGTCAAGGTGAAGAAGGTCCTTCCTCTTTTGTAAAAAAAATTCTTTATTTTGAAAGTTACAGCGAATAGAGAGACCACAAGAGAGCTCCTCCTCGGCTGGTTTGCTCCCCAGATGGCCACAACGGCCTGCTCTGGGCCCGGCTGAAGCCAGGAGCCATGAGGTTCGTGTGCATCTCCTGTGTGGGTGCAGAGATGCAGACACTTGAGGCACCTTCCGCTGCTTTCCCAGGCCATTAGCAGGGAGCTGGGTAGGAGTGGAGCAGCTGGGACTTGAACCAGCGCACGCATGGGGTGTGTTATGTGCTATGCCACAACTCCGGCCCCATAAGGCCTCTTCTCAAAGTGTGATCAGAGCTGGGCCGGCTGCATTAGAAAGAGCAGGGCTGGGTAACTCTGCAGCTTCCTGGCTACTCCACAGCACAGAATTAAGATCCTGGAAGTCAGGGTCCAAAATCCGACTTGAAACAGAACCCCCAGCTGACTTGTCTGTACCCCAAAGCTTGTGGGCCATCATCAAGCAATGCGATTATCATTTAGATGTGCCTCTCAAGGGTGGCAGGCTCCCCAGAACCCAGGGCCGGTCTGAAACATCACCACGTAGTGTGGAAATCAGGGCTTACCCACTGCGATGTAAATAACACAGGGCACCACATAATGCGCGCCGGAAACTCAAACCACAGGGAGGGGACAAAGAAGGAGGTTGAATGATGCAGTCCTAGAAAGTGGTAGAGGTGGGGCTGGTTGACCTTGGGTGGATCAGAGTGTGCAGTGTGCCCACAGAGAAGGGTGGATCTAGACAGGAGCCCAGGCCGGGAGGGGACGGTCTCCCCAAGTGTCAGTTCCTGCTGCTCCACTTCAGATCCAGCTCCCTGCTGATGGCCTGGGAAAGTAGTGGAAGATGGCCCAAGTGCATGGGCCCCTGCCCCCACGTGGGAGACCCAGAAGAGGCTCCTGGCTCCTGGCTTCAGCCTGGCCCCGGCCAGCACTGTTGCCAGTGGATGGAAAAATCTCTCTGTCTCCCCCTCTTTCTGTCACTCTGCCTTTCGAATAAATAAAATAAATCTTTTAAAAATAAGGTCATTTGTGCCCAGGTCTTACCTACTGTGTTTGCGGCACTGATGAACACTCCACCTGGGGTAGATGCAAGGCCTTCTCTCAGCCCCAAGAACTCAGAAATGGAATCCAGTGTGCCCGGGAGAGAGGTGCAGCAGACACCACAGACCCGAGGGCAAGTGGGCAGGTGCCTGAGCCTGCGCTAGCAAGGAGAAGTGAGAGCAGCGCCTTGGGAAAGCTTCGTCTCCACTGTTCCAGACCCACGAGCTGGAGGAGCTGCTCTGGGGGCAGGTGTAGCCTTCCTTATCAGGGTTCTAGAACACTCTAAACCGAACAAGGTAGTGCAGTCAGCTGTGGAATCCCAGCCACAATTTTAAAAAGGAAACAATGCAACAACATCAGAGTCACTGTAGCTTGCATTGTTTCCGGAAACGAAGGCTTCATGCCATAGCCATGTGTGGAACCGGTGAAAACGTTGTCTTAGAGACAGTCAGCTTATTGTCATAGGTTTTTCTGCTGTGTAGAAGAGTGACGGCTTTCATCAGATTTCCAAAGGTTAAGAACACTGGTTGATGCCCAGAGCTCAATGATTTAAGCCCAGTTAAGGCTCACCAAGTACCCTCCTGACCATAACTTGCTTTCAAAGAGAGAATTTCCTGATGAGGAAGCATAAATGTCGGGTCTGATATGATGGTTTTCTCTGAAGACAGTGCTCTGCCTCTCCTGTTTATGCATCTATCCCTTATGAATTTGGTCAATGTGTATCAGTCCTCTGGAGCCCTATCTCCTTTGGGCAAAGCAAACAAAAAACTTTCTGAGCTTATGAAGACCAAAGAAGATGGCAACAAAGCCCCCTCTGGCCAACCCATGGACCCTTCCTTTCAGCTAAAAGGGATTGGTATACTCAATACATATTTGAATGACTGGGCAGAGTCTTTTGCACACAGCATACAGAAGACTCTACCCAAAGGTCACTTGTCCCAAGCCACTGAAAACCTGTAGCCGGCTCCAA